TGGAAATAACATAATTATGTTATTTCCACTTAAATAAACCAAGGTTTGATAATTGTACAATTGTTTATTTTTTTCATTTTTTATTAATACAACAATATAAGTATATCCTACTTGTCACTTCTATTAGAAAGCTGTCTGTATCTAGCTGTGATTGAAATTGGGTAGATATTTTTAGCATCTTATTCTCTACTATTCTTAAATGAAATAGCTATCAGTATCCAGCCTGATTGAAGTTAAAGTAGATATTAAAAAAAATAAATAAATTCTGTAGTTTACTTGTACCAAGGAAGTTTTTGTGCTAGGTAAAACAGGTTGATATAAAAAATCAAAGTAAAAAATATTACTAGCTTTTCTTTAGAAAAGATAACAAAATAAAGTCTAAAGTACTAGCCCTCAAGGAATACCTTAAATGATTTATTTTAAATAGATATATATAAATAAGTTATATAATTAATAAATTGAATAAATAAATGTATATGGGTATTAGATAAGTTGTGTATTATTAATTTGATGTATTTCTTCTCTAATTGCTCATAATAATTGGTAATACTCAGCTAATTGCTTGGCCATCATACTATCTGGTCAGTATATAAATTTAATCTATTTTCTTTGTATAGTTATACAAGCTTGAATTTTTTTACCAATTTCTCTAGCATATTTGGCCTTTTTAATAGTATTCTGTATTCACAATCCATATTGATATAATGTATATTTACTGTTATAATCATATTCAGAATTAGATTTTTGTTTAATTTTCAAATATTCTTCATAATTTATACCATAGTATTTATTACCAGTATATGAAAATTTCCAATATCTTTCTATTCCTATATGGTTATAATTTTCTATATTCTTCTTTCTTTGTCCAGTATATACTAACTGATCACAAGAGAAACATATTGCTATTCTGATTTCAGAAGCATATAAACCACCATTCAGCAATCTTATTAATCTCCTAGCTTCAAGGTATTTTTTACTTTCAATAGGTAATAGATTATTCTTCTTAAAATATAGTAAGTGAAGCAAAATCTGTTTCATCCACTCACTAGAAGTTTCATTATTATGAACTTGAAGCATCTCTATATATTCATACCATTCTTTATCTGAATATTTAGAGCCACTATAAGCTATTAAACTACTGAAATTACTCATTTTTTATAATCTATTTATCGATTATATGAGATTATGTAATTTATATTGTATTTAGGGATTTAGACCTATTAGATTTTATTAACTATATACTAATTAATAATACAATTCAATTTTTGTACACTCATATTATACAAAAAGTAAACTAATTATATTATAATCTAATGTTAATTACTTTTGTATTTCGCTAGTAAACCTTTTTTTTGTAGGTTTAAGATCTTAGATAAGTTGAAATAAATATAAATATTGAGTTTAAAAAACAATTATAAATAATTTCTATCATAGCGATTATACTTACTGAGATAGCTTCATCTTGAATTTTTAATCTTTGAGGATCGTAAACCTGACTTTGAGGATTTGAAAAGCTTCTTATTCTGAATAGTATAATTTTTTGATATTTTAGTTTTTTTATTTTTAACATTTATACTTATATCTGTATTGATATTCAAATCTGAATCACTAAATAGAATGCCGAATTTTCTATTTTGCTTGATTAATATTGCATATATAAAGAAAATGACACTATAACGAATACCAGAAATAACAGAAAAATTGCTATGAACTAAGATGTTCAATATAAAAGCAATAGCCTAACCCTCTTTTGCATATATTACACAGGTCGAAATCAATATATCCTATATATATCCTACATATATCTGGTATGCAGATATGTGTAGAATATGTGTAAAATATGTGTAGAATATGTATAGGATAGGTGTCTGATTATAAATATCTAGTACCAGATAGATAACAGATGAGTACCCGACAGATATTAATAAAAATCTGTCATATATCTAACATCTATCATATATATATCATGTATCTATCAGGTACCCGATATGTGTAGAGTTGATGCAGAATATCTTATACATATCCTACATATATCATATATATATCCTACACATATTATATATATATATTGTATATATATTCTACAGTTATAAATT